TCGATTTCCAACTGCCAGGGGATTTTTTTTTTACGTGCGCAACAATACACACACGGGAGTCCGATCTTACTACCAGGGACCTCCAGCACTCGAGGCGGACGCCATGCCTCGAGACCATGCAGCCCCGTGGGGAAAAGATGGGGGAGGACAGAAACAAATAGGGAGGCCACAAAGAAGACTTTAACTTACAGGTCGGTCTCTAGAACCTTCCAGATAATCAGCGATGAAATCGATCAACTCTTTCCCGCGTTTTCTGAATTCAGTTGGGGTCAGGTCAGCAGAAGGTAGAGCAGACGAGGGGCCGACCGTTTTCTTTTTTCTTTTCTTCCTTGCCACTTTTGCCATCGCCTACGAAACAAAACATTCCTCATTTTTTATGTGATTAATTTGTAAGAAACTAGGCTTTGAAAATTCGGGGAGACAATTATACTATGAATAGTTTGCATGGTCATTTATGATAATAATAATAATTATTATTATTAGTATTAATATTATTATTTCGCTTCATTGTCTTTACTTCTGTCACTTTAATATTTTTTTTTAAAAGTATTAATAAATTATCTTTACACTATTCAGAATATAATTTCGTTTTACTTTTTTTTTTTAACTTCTCTCATTTTAATAGTTTTCGTAGTTGTAGTAGTCGTAGTAGTAGTGGTAGTAGTGGTGGTGGTAGTAGTTGTTTTTGTATTAATAGTTGTGGTTGTAGCAGCAGTAGTATTAGTAGCAGTAGCAGCAGCAGTAGCAGTAGTAGTAAATTACCATGCACGCTGAACTGCGCACAATTTCATTCATAGTTTGCAATGCAAGTTGTACCCAACCAGGACATCACACAAGCGATAAACACCCGGTGATACAAAGTGCCACCATGCGGAGGAGGATCACCATTGGAGAGGTCCCGAAAACCCCGTTCAGCCGTTAGATCATATTTCAGGCCTGGCTATATCCAGGGCCCCCGGCAAAAGTCAGGGTGGGGCTTCTAAATAAGTAAAAATTGCATCCCACCTGGGGATGACGAGATTATGTTGTGTAATTATTCGTGGTTTGCTGGGAAGTTGTTGAGGTTCCATAGTTTTTTTGTAATCGCTTAGGCGCTACGAATACGCCTTGTAATTCTAAAACACTCGATTCGGAGACTTGACAGAAGGTGGCTTTGTGTTGATTCCGCGGCTAGTATGGAAAGTCTACCTCTCAGAAAGCAATGGCAAACTACTGAAATCACAGTTTAAAAAATTTCGGGAAGCTGGATTGCAGTGTTCTGTAATAGATTCGCAATTAAATATTTTTTCTGTTTAGTTTGTCATTACTTTCCGAATGGTTTGACGCTCATATTATTGTCAAAATCGACCAGTGTGTTGCCATATCGTCTGTAAATATTCTTCTTCTTTCGTTCGGTTAAAATAAATTACCTATATCTGCAGTGCTGTCTCTAGTATCAACTTCCCTGACTTGTTTTAATTCACTTAAAAGTAAAAAAAAAATAGTAAAGGACCCTTTTCCACGGCTTTAGGCGTATAGGGCATATAGGGCTAGACCTATATTTTTATAGACCAATCGGCACAGGAGGGTGATGTGGTCAGCATCACGCCGGCCGACTTTACTTTCCCGGGTCTGCACCCTGTACCCACTCAAGGCTGGATGGACCTGGGAGCCACGGTCATTTTTGAAAAAAGTCCGGCTCCACCAGAAAGCGAACCCACGACATTCCGATCCGCGGCGAGCATCTAGCCGCTCGGCCACGGCGACCCCAGTAATTCACTTAGCGGCCGTAAAGTTTGGCTTCCACCAGTATCTCGGCCAGACGTGGGAAGGTTGTATTTTGGGACAGTCTTGGGGGATGTGATCTGTTGCTTTAGGCACCAGTCCACATATGCATATGACCGATTCAACTATCTCAAATTTTCTGTACATGTAGCTGCGAAGTCGACTGTACCCTGTTTAAAGGCGTATAAAAATAATTTGTTCGGCCCTGTCCATAATATGGTAATAGTCTTCTTCTGGTTTTGTGGCTTTCTGATTGATTTCATTATTCTCGTCTTCTGTTGATAAGAGACTGGTACGCCCGACTGTTCTTCAGCATCTGTGAATGACTTCGAACTCTGGTATACTGGAATTATTTACTTATTTATTCCTAAGAAACGTATGCTGTATTAGTGTTCTTCCATTTGAAACCCGACTATCACATAATCCGCTCTCTCTAACTTGTTAGCGTTGGCCATAGCCCTATAAAGAAATTTGGCTGCCGCACTTGCTACTTTCAATATGTGTTTAACCTTGTTTAAAATAACGCTTTCGTGATTTTGTATAGTGAAATTTTCCAAGCTTATACCAAAATCGAGCACTGCAGACGAGAAAGAATTCTAACTTTGAACAAGCCTTTTGCTTGTCCCGGATGTGAGACAATCTCATCGACGTCATCTTCATCTGACGACAAGCTGCTGTCCTGACCTTCATCGGAAAAGAAATCGTCTATCGTTGCTGGCTCTTCATCGACGTCCATGGATGGGATGATAAGAGGAACTCTTCCTGCAAGAAATCACGTAACATACAGACAGTCATTTTGACAGGTGTTTCAGTAGTCACTATAAGGAAATTGTTTTTCAATTTACGAGAAAAATTTCACTCTTTAAATGTATTCGTTTTGGTAAAGTTCGGCATTCATAGAATAGATTACACACAAAATTTATGTCATTTGTAAACAATTTAGCATTGACAAGTTGATACTAAAGGCACCAACCCATGCACTTTTCAAAGATAACAAAAAAATTTTTTAAGTCAAGTTTTTCTCACAACTCTTATATATCTGTTTGTAGTGTGTTTAAAATCTTAAAATCATGTTATCTTGTCACCCCTTTCTGGAAAGCAATTTTTCGTTTTTTAAAGCCCTACACTGGCTCTTGCCAGGGACAGCAATATAGCCCAGCCTTAAATATGATCTAATAGCTGAACACAGTTTCTAGGACCTCTCCATGGAGGATCCTCATCCACATGGTGGCACTTTGTGTCATCTGGTGTTTATCGCCTGTGTGATGTCCTGGTTGGGTAAAAAAAGATAGATAGATAGATAGATAGATAGATAGATAGATAGATAGATAGATAGATAGATAGATAGATAGATAGATAGATAGATAGATAGATAGATAGATAGATAGATAGATAGATAGATAGATAGATAGATAGATAGATAGATAGATAGATAGATAGATAGATAGATAGATAGATAGATAGATAGATAGATAGATAGATAGATAGATAGATAGATAGATAGATAGATAGATAGATAGATAGATAGATAGATAGATAGATAGATAGATAGATAGATAGATAGATAGATAGATAGATAGATAGATAGATAGATAGATAGATAGATAGATAGATAGATAGATAGATAGATAGATAGATAGATAGATAGATAGATAGATAGATAGATAGATAGATAGATAGATAGATAGATAGATAGATAGATAGATAGATAGATAGATAGATAGATAGATAGATAGATAGATAGATAGATAGATAGATAGATAGATAGATAGATAGATAGATAAATAGACGGACGGACGGACGGACGGACGGACGGACATACAGACAGACAGACAGACAGACAGACAGACAGACAGACAGACAGACAGACAGACAGACAGACAGACAGACAGACAGACAGATAGACAGATAGACAGATAGATAGATAGATAGATAGATAGATAGATAGATAGATAGATAGATAGATAGATAGATAGATAGATAGATAGATAGATAGATAGATAGATAGATAGATAGATAGATAGATAGATAGATAGATAGATAGATAGATAGATAGATAGATAGATAGATAGATAGATAGATAGATAGATAGATAGATAGATAGATAGATAGATAGATAGATAGATAGATAGATAGATAGATAGATAGATAGATAGATAGATAGATAGATAGACAGACAGATAGATAGCATATATAAAGGCTAGAAAAATGAAACCTTGTGTTGATACTCTTTAAACAATATTATAGTGACATGTCTATTTAAAAGTAGATTTTAGAAAGTTTTTGTTGTTTTAAATTCGATTATTGCCTTACAATACTACATTTTTTAAATACTTTTTTTAACAAAGCTACATTTTAAAACTCTACGAAAAATATTTAGAAACATCTTTAAAGTAAATAAACTACACATGTGCATCTACATAGGATTCAAGTTCATGAATTCATAATCTATTTCTCAATACCTATGATTGTTTTTGAAATGTTAGGATTCTAAGTACTTGGCTCTCAATTCTGTTAATTTGTTATGCCTATACTACTTTTCGTCCTTCTTAGGACGTTATTTTTTGTTATTTGAAGCCCCACTCTGGCTTTTGCCAGGGGCCGCAATATAGGCAGGTCATCATTATGGCCAAATGTCTGAACGCGGTTTCTGGGACCTCTCCACGGTGATCCTCATCCGCATGGTGGCACTTTGTGTCATCGGGTGTTTATCGCTTGTGTGATGTCCTGGTGGGGTAAAAAATCCAATCCAATCCAATTCTAAGTACATGTTTTTTTTTTCTTTAAGATGGCTGCAATTGCCATTTGCCCATCCGCACATTATTACGCACTTAAATAAGGCCTAATGCGCTTGATGACCCTCTGAGACAATTTGTAAAGGGTCTGAGGGTTCCTCATTTAGAAAATGTTTAAGAGAGTGAGCCCTCCCCCCCCCCCCCCCCACTTTTCTTTCTTCTTCAGAATTCCAAGCTCTTGAGGTTCATTACTGCAGAAATCAACCGCCTCCATTTGTCTCTGTGACTGGTCTTCACTTTCCAGTTGGTGACACCAAGTGTTTGTAGGTCTGTCTGAATATTATCTCTCCATCGTCTTTTTGGTCTGCCTCATGGTCTACGACCATTCAACTCCCTTGTGTATACTGTTTAACCTCACTGTCATCTGACCCCCCCCCCCCTTCCCCGCCCCGCCAAAAAATATTTTACTTGTCTCGACACCTCTGTTTTGAATGCTGAATCAAGAATCGACATCACAACACTCGGGATACTTCCATAAGCGCTCCGTCCCCATCTTCAGCAGCGAGGAGTTCCAATTCCGATAGCACCATTAACTGTCTGATTGCATACCCATCTCGCCTTTTCATTGAGCGTCAGTCATATCCCCCTGGTTAACTCACAGCAGTGATATTCTCCTCAGACCAAGGTGATTTATTTGTGCCTCCGCACTGTTAACTCGTTTCCAAATGGTCTTCAGAATATCTAGCTTGCCGTACATCAATTCACCACCAAATGGTGCAGAACCGATTAATCTATCCACCTGCTCGTTTCCCAACACATCGGCACCTTCTTGTTCTTCTTCCGCGTATCGAGCCCATTGATGTTCATTGCTGCAGATATCACCCACCTCCACTCATTTCTCTGGTCGGCCTTCTCTTTCCAGTTGGTGACACCAAGTGTTTGTAAGTCTGTCTGAACATTTATCTCTCCATCGTCTTCTTGGTCTGCCTCGTGGTCTACTACCATTCACCTTCCTTGTGAACACAGTTTTCACTTCTCTGTCATCTGACGTTCTCTCAATATACCCCAGCCATTTCAGTCTATTAGCTCTCATGATGCCAGTGATCAATGGTGATTTAAACAGATTATGAATTTCGTTGTTGCTTCTCATTCTCCATTCCCCGCTTTCCCATCTTTGATGGGTCCAAAGATACGTCGCAATATTCTGTTTTAGAATATGTGTAAGGAGTCTTCATCTCTTTTAGCTGTGCTCTAAGTTTCACAGCCATATAAAACGATTGGTCTTATCAACGTTTTATATAATTTGATCTTGGTGTTGCAAGATAGATTTTTACTTTAGCAGATGTTGAAGGGCATAGCGTACTTTATTTTCAGATTGTATTCTACATTGTATTTCTTTTCCCTGCATACTGGAGCAGTTGAAGTTTGCACCCAAATACTTATATGTTTCCGACAGCATCAAGTGGAGAAAATATCCAAACGAACTGCTATGTATAAGTGTGTAATTCTAACTAACCCCAAATGAGTCTCTATAAGATGAATTGAGATTTGGCGTCACGAAGATTTAACTTCACTCTTTACAAGAGATGGCTTGAAACCCAAGGTTCCCAGTCGTGTTATAGCATTCAGTGTCCAGTATTGGTTTAAACATGTGCAATTTGTGTTAGGAAATTGCCTCACTATCTCCGTGTGTAATATATTTGCTGTTGAGTAGTGTTTAGAACCGTCGGCAGGGCTATCGAAGTTTTTTGGGGAACAGTGCCAAATGTTTCCAGAACAGGTATCAAAATACACCAGAGGGTACACACTTTTTAATTAAAACAACCGTTAAACGTCTGTAACCACACACACACACACACACACACACACACACACACACACACACACACACACACACACATATATATATAACACTGGCGTACTTTATATTTGATATGAATTGAAATTCTTTAAAAACTGTATGATTGATGTACCATTTTCCCCATTCTATTTGTTACAAAGCTGTTGTGGTGACTTCCATTTGGTGCAGTTACTCTCCTGGACCAATAGCTTTGAATTCATCAATGTATTTATTGTTGAAATCTTCGAAGACAGATGAAAGAAAAAAGAATCCTCATACTGATAACAGAAAGAAAACTTTTCTCAGCTGCTAAGGAATGACGCGTATTTTTTTAGGACACTTTCAATCATTTTGTGTTTGTTTGTTTGAGTACAATACTTCTGGTCGCCTTTACTTCCCAGCACTTCACCAATGACAACAACCATTGCTGCCCATCAAACAATGGATCGCAGACTGTTCCTACCAACAGTGCTTAATGGCAGAAGAGATATTCCCATCTTCAACTGAGAAAGGCATTGATGAAAAATATAATAGCGCTTGGGATATTCCCATCTTCAACTGAGAAAGGTGGTGATGAAAAGTATAGCGCTTGGGATATTCCCATATTCTACTGACAAAGGTGGTGATGAAAAGTATAGCGCTTGGGATATTCCCATCTTCAACTGAGAAAGGTGGTGATTAAAAGCGCTTGGGATATTCCCATCTTCAACTGAGAAAGGTGGTGAGGAAAAGTATAGCCTTTGGGATATTCCCATCTTCAACTGAGAAAGGTGGTGATTAAAAGCGCTTAGGATATTCCCATCTTCAACTGAGAAAGGTTGTGATGAAAAGTATAGTGCTTGGGATATTCCGATCTTCAACTGAGAAAGGTGGTGATGAAAAGTATAGCGCTTGGGATATTCCTTCTTTAACAGCCAAAACAGAGTGTCAATTCAATCAGTACGATCGGTTTCTCGCCTCAGGGCTGGTACCTACGTCTACCATACCACCCAGAGATAACCAAATCTCAATCTGAACGGCAGACTTAAAAGGTAGATCCCAGATACCCCGTTCAACCTACATGGAACTCTTAATTAAGGCACCTGTAACTACACAACATAGGTGTGCATTGTGGTCCTATGTGGGATAAGTAGTCCTTAAAAAAAAAAAAAAAAAAAAAAA